TTTCACCATACATTGGCATACTATTTGACATAATATAAGAACGTTCGGAGAACGTCCCGGTGCATTTTAAACTTCAGCCGCCGTGGCCCTAAAACCGCCTGGGCCCGGAACTCACACTGTGGGGACCATATCTGAGAAAAAACGTAAGAACAACTATACATGTTAAGTGGTCCAGTCCTAACGAAAGATGTAAATCAACATCGTCCACGTAACGGGTTCAAATAAGATATGAATTTACTAATTGTAATCTTGTCACAACAATGGCCAGTCGTGGATTACTTCTCATTATGTTAGAGATTAAAGCTATATACATGTGTGTTACTTTAGCGGGTGTTATGGTTGTAAGTTGTGCAGCCTCTACAGGATGGATGAAAATAATATTATTATCTATTATTGAGTTATTATTATATATCTATCTGTTATGTACCCTGAAAAATATCGCGAAAGGGATTACCGACGTTTCTGCGGAATGACGAAACATGATAAAATATTTGATAAAAAAATTGAAGTAACTCAATTCACTAAAGGGTTCCAATAGTTAATAACTGAGTTGAATGCTGAATCGCCACGGTCAACACCTAGGTATTTGTTTAATAAAAAGACACATGCTGGAAAGTGCGAGGTACTGGGACTTGTCGGTAAGGGTCAAAGATAGTCCTATTTCTTTCCAGGTAAAATAAGGGAAATAAATGAACAATAATGTATCTTCGGTAGACGTTCCGGTGGGAGTAGTAAAAAGACAAATACACGAGTTCGTCGCCTAAACTACATTTTTGTTTGGTGAGGTGATGAAGATGTGTCTTTCTGTATTAGTGGGTCCTTGAAGGTGTCTTTACACTGACGTTCTGTCCTCTCTCTTTTTTGCGTCAATTGTTATACGCAAGTTTAGTCTAGGGATCAGTCACAAATCCTTTATTGAGAAACAGTTTATACAGTTCTTATTCGTCACATCAGACACCATTCCCGGCACGTGCTTAAACCCCTTTATTAGATTTAACGCTAACAAGACTTCTATAACGCCTAACGCTAAACGTTATAAACCAAAATTTCGCTGGGGTTGCCTTCAAATAACATTTTACGCCGGTATTGATGCAGATCCTTCCAGCATAGTTGCACGAGGCAGGAGATCGTTGGGGCGCGTCCGGGTCAATGTTCACTTTCGATTTGAATGTANACATTAGTTTTTACAGAAGTGATCAAATAAAGTCAACATTTCAGTCTTTACTGAGCTGTGTGGGGTTTGTTCAACTTTTAAAAGATGTTTGAATGGTGAATCACCATTCAAACATCTTTTAAAAGTTGAACAAACCCCACACAGCTCAGTAAAGACTGAAATGTTGACTTTATTTGATCACTTCTGTAAAAACTAATGTTCATATTTCTCTTTTTGATTATAATATTGATGAACGTTCAAAACAAAGCACTTTGGCAACTTACCACATACGTTTTAAAATGCTTAATAAGCATCGTAACTTTCATGATATAACTTCTCCGTCATAATCGTTTGTTTCCGTTAGCGGCCGACCGTTGTGTGACGGTGTGACGGTGTGGGTCACAGAGTGACTGACTCCGCCACTGACAGCCGACACACACACACACACCACACACACACCAAACATTTCTTGCTCTCTTCCTAAAAATTAACCATGCATTATTGTGCGATTGTTAATTTGTTAAATGATTATGGGCCACGGGTTCAAAAGGGACGGTGTTGGTTCCTTGTGGTAGTGAGGACTGTGAAACTCGGAAGAATGTTGCAGAGAAGGCAACAGCTGGGACGTGGTCGGGGTTTTTGTTGCAGAGAAGGCAACAGCCAGAACACATCTACTCTGAATAGTGATGGACGGCCTTTGTCTTTTATTTTGTTTGTTTAAGGTGCGCTGTTTCGTTATTTTATTTTGATGCTGTTATTAAAGTGTTTTGGAGCTCAACCCAACCGACTAAGCCATTTTTTGAACGGACAATTGAACCCCGTCACACCTACCTACCTACTAAATGCTACCATTATTGTAATAATCGTACTTCCTAGTTCTATAGCAAAAGGAATTATACTACATTTATTTTTAAAGGATTAACAGTTTTTTTTAATAGTTTGTGTGTTTTTTGTTTCCTAAAACATTCCATTCCATGATGTACCAAATATACAATTAGTTAACAAATGCATAATTCTGTTCATGGTTCAAGGTAATGCAAAATAGAGTTAACCATCAGGCTTCTTACCAAACAAGGAAAGGACCCCACACAGCGCCCAGACCAGCAGAGAGAGCCCCACGCTGCCACTGTTTATCAGGACCCCCTTTGGAGCGATGAAGATCCCACTGCCCACCACCGTGCCGATGATGAAGCACACGGCAGGCAGCATGCCGATCTCTCTCCGAAGGTGCACCACCTCCTCTTCTGTCTTCTCTTTCTCATCATCCTCTTTCTTCACTTGTGTCACGTCCATTTCTCTTTGGATGTAGATCCCTCTCAAACTGACCACACTTTAGTTTCCCTAATTCTGATACACCCACATTGTATATCGTCCTGCAAACTGAAGTTCTTACCTCTATTTTTTCTCCTTAACAGGGTATTGTTGCTCAACAACCAAACAGCAGCAGAATCTTAACTGCTTCCACCAGCAACAGTCCTGTTTGGGTATCCAGCTCCTGGACACACATTGGCAGCAGTAGCAGTAGCGAGAGGCAACACTGGCCTCATGTCCCCCTCTTCCCCCAAACTACCCCACATGATTTTCTCCCCTTATTGGCCCTAAACCCAACCGCCCAGTCTGAGCGGGGAACAAAGCCAGCACTCTTGCAAGCTTCAGTCAGTTAATCACCACAGTGTATTGTACTGCTGGTATGTGTGCTGTGCTCTTATATGTGTGTACAGCTTGATGGAGGCCTCTAGGGGAAAAGGGTGAGGGTGGTGTAGAGGCAGCTGGATACTCTGCAGGGGGGCTTCTTTCAACAACAGCATTCATCTTGTCCCCTGATGGCTCTGGTTTACAAGTGGTTTGATGTTAAGATTAGAGTCTTTTCCACAGCTTTCATACACATGCGGCTTTGGCTAAATCTAAGATATGTCTGCAATATTTCTACCAAGATGAAAAAGCTCTCTATACTGAGGCCACTATTAGCTTGTTTTCCCCGTTTCCACTCGAGAGACCACAGCATGGATGTCAGTTTTACTTTATCAACGATGTTGTGTTTGTTAAAATTCCTCCACACCCAGCACGCACAAAGGGGTTCATCTGGTTACAGTTTATCAAGTGAGACCAATTGAATCAGACCAGATGTGAGATTGGAGAGATCATTTTGATTTATTAAACAAATAAAACCAAAAGTTGATGTAGAATATACTGCAGGACTTTTTTTATGGCACTCATGTGTCAGGATCATGTGATGTTTGATGTTAAAAGGTCAAGAAGCAGAGTCATGCAGAAAGGGGGATGTTTGTGGGAATGTTTGTGGGAATGTCCTGCTGCTAAAGCCAATAAACACGTAACATTCATCAAGTAATACTGAGTTTTAAACTCTAATACAGGACATTCACACCAAGCCTATACAGTTGACAACAGTTACTAATGATGCTTTTTAATATCCTGCACATTGCACCCAATAAAAGATGCATAAGATGTATACTGAGAGGTCATCTTCATTGTAGTACTCTAGCAACACAAGGGAAGTTGTTGCATCTATATATAAAATCTGTTATTGACATCTATCTCCTGCATACATCATGATGTATGTTTAAAAACTGTACTAGTTAGATATTACTCAACGAGAAAATTGGAATTCAGATGATTTTAATATTTGGATTTGTATTAAAACATAGGAAAAGTGTTGCCATTCATTGGAGATTTACAATTGTGACAATATTCTTATGATATAATGAATAATACAATCAAAAACAATCAACAGTCTTGAATTCAACCTAATTTGTTTGCAAGAACATTGTATTGCACAAACTACATAATATTATTGAAGATCTATACTAATACATCTCACTTTGACCAGCAGATGGAACTAAACTTCCTACCTACAGGAATACATTGACTCTGAATAGGCTGCACCCGGTTTTCCTTCCAGAAGATGGCGACCTAATCCCTCACCAGATATTAATGATCTCTCACAGTTACTTATTCTCTATCTGTCCCAGGTAAGGCCCTGGGGAATCTTGAGTATCACACTGGGAAATCCCAGGGCAGGTCTGAATTTAGCCCCTCTTTGAGTGGGTAACCCTGCCATAGGCTCACACATCAGCCCCAGGAGATGTGAGCCCAACTCCCCTTCTGTTTTCCAGCTGACCTCCCAAGATCCCTGCCTAGTCAAGGGGATCTTCCCTCACAACTGTTTATCCCATAGGATATAGGATTTAAAAGCACACAAAGGCTTCACAGTAACGTTAGGGACATTTACATTTTGATTTGATGGGCTATGAATTCCCTCAGGAGAAATCTAAAAAGGGAAAAGGTACGTGAAATTCCATATTAAGCACTAGGCAAATTTGACCTTGCTTTTCATACAATAAAATATGAACAACAGCTGAAATTTGAACACATGGCTCTTTGATTAGGTTCGGAATCTATGATAGAATCCAATGTAATCATCATCTTCTTATGGAGTGTTACGTTCCCTATTGGGCTAGGGGAACCAAAGGGAAATAACACGACCAGATTGGTATTGGTATAATTATAAGTGGTTTTAATGCACAACAGGTGAACCAAATTGCAGGCAAACAGCCTGAAACAAACAAAAGAGCCAAAAACACCGGTTTAAATAACAAACAATAGAGGCCACAAAGGCGCAAGTTCAAATGGGCAACCAAACTAAGGGAGGACTCTAAAAGGTGAGTCTAAAGACATACCGGGAAAATAAATACTAATATACTAAATAAAGAACGAAACAAAACCTCACTTTAAAAGTGGTACAACTAACCAAAGAATCTATACCAAACACAGCTAAACTAAAGGCAACCGACACATAATCCTAAACTACTCTAAACACTAACTAAGCTACTCTACACTCTAACTAATCACACAAATTTAACCCCAGAACAAAGAGCAAGTAGCGAGAGGCATCTGTCCACATACAGAGCCTCCAGAATGATGATTGTCCCCAAGCTTTGTAATAATCTCCAGCAGGTGTGCGCCGGCTGTGCGCTGCGATTGGAGTGCGTCGGGCCCGGCGTGCTCCAATCGCAATCTTCAGGGGCGGACCAGGAGATGGCAGCCAATGCCGGGAGGGCAACCGCACAGCTCATTTAGATAGAACACACACAGCTGAAAACACTCAGACGACCAGGAAGGCAGCAGCCGTAACACTCCCCCCCTTAAGACACAAACCCACAGGTTTTGTGAAACTCTACGACACCGTACTGGAGTTCTCCTCGCTAAGGGGCTGTAGGGTTCTTATAAACGACTTTGACTTTGTCAAACATTTTCTCCTACCAGGTTAAGGAGGACTGGTAACACGTCCAGACTATACGTTGATATCCTTTGAAACCACTCCAATAACGACGGTTTCCTCCCATTGGGTCAATAATTTAGGTTCCCAAGTGTAAAGGTAGGACGTGACACTAACAAATCATACCATATAGATATAGCTGGTAATCTTGGACATAACAAACTTACACGCAAACGAATCTGTGACATCAAACATGATAACATCACTAATCTACTGTCACAGTACGGTTAAAATAGCGTCGCGCAATACGTCTTAGCAATCAAGTTCGATGCGATGATCGATAGACCTTGTACAAATGTTTCCCCCACGAAACTACTGTCGTCGACCAAACTGTTACACGACGTGATATTCACTTCTATCGTCACTTAGTATATAGAGATGTGTCCTGATTTCATACGATGTTTTTCTCTAAGTATTAACTGCCACTTCGATACCTTAGTTACATAAATCATATATATTGCACATTGTAACCCCCCACCTAAAGGGTAGGGATCCGTCCCCCCAGGCCTCACCTAAGAGGGGTCCTTCTACAAAATTGTAAAATCTTTACGAAGTTAGACCGTGAACTCGTGGATAATGATCTCTGACGTAGACCATGTGAGACTCTCTGGGTATACTCCTTTACTCTTCTAGACAAGACGGC